TTCAACTACTGAATGAGGCACATCACTACCGATTGACAGTAGTGCAATTACAGGGTAACTACAGCTAAGGAAATAAGCACATCTTTTTTAATTTAAAATAGAAGGAAAATGTAACTGAATTTTGAACAGTTTTAGAGTTAAAAAAGTACTTGAACTATGTGACTTTTTGAAAAGTACACAATTTAATGCAATTTACTCCACCTTATCTAGTGTATCTATTTATCATCAAAAAGATAGATGCTTAGGAATAACTTTGGACACATGTATAAGTTAGGAACAAATTACATGACTAATGAGAACCTCCATAATCAGGTTCCAATATACAGAGGTGATTGACCACCGGCCTTGGTTCAGCAGCTGGGCTAGTATCTCCCTAACTCTCTAGAACTTTTCCTAATGACTGTTGCACCAGAATCACAAGACAGTTGCTCCACCTCCAGCCATCAAGTCCAAATACTAACTAAGAAGGAAGGTGAAGGATGAAGGGCTTTCTTTTCTTGGGGGGGGAAAAAAAATGTTCTCCCAGGAGAATTACTCCTGCATTGCATTGGACCAGAACTGTATCTCAAAACTTTGCTTCACTGAGGGAGACTAGAATTGCAAATATCTAGCTTTCCAGATTCTACAGGCCTTATTTCCTGAATTGCGAAAAACAAAAACCAAACAAAATAAACAGCAGCAACAAAAAAACCAATTCACGTTTTTCTTCTTCCACTCCAACTTTGTCACACCTGGATGATTGATTTCATAGGTTCACTAGCAGAAACAAGGATAATTTGGAACCGTGAGCTGGCCCAGTAACTTTTACATGTGAACCTCTTAGGCTTTGAGACATGAGTAGCCCAGGACTCTGGATGGGGGTCAATCCCTCAAGTCCATGGAAGTTTCAGACATGGTCCTGTTATCCGATGGCAGAGCCTAGATTTTGGAAGTCTAGTTTGGGGTTCTGGTTTCACTTTGCACTCACTGGATTATACTCTAGGCCTGTGTTTGCACTGCATAACTGAGAAACAAGTCTGTCATATCCTACTGCAATATAGGGAGGTTTGAATAAAATATTTCAAAATGGTTGTGAAAACCTAAAAACATTATAGTGATGTAAGTCACTATTATATCCACCATGCTAAATTAGTCCCGAAGCAAGTATAAAAAATATAGATGCAGGTAGGAGTATGTAGCTGGCTCACTGCTGCTCCTGGGGCGGCGGGGAGAAGGGGGAGCTGTCTCAGTCAATCCCAATTTCCTTAAAAACACCACCACCAACAACAACAACAAAACCAGTGCACAAAGGACTGCTCCTCCCCTTTCTCTTCAAGTGTGTTTGTCACTTCCTGGATATACCTGCTTCTGCTCATCCCTCTGAGTTACCTCTCCTCCTCTGACTGGGTCTGCCCCCAGGAAAATTTACCCTGCAGATGTAAAGCTTTGTTTTCATAAACAAAACCACCCACTCCACCTGGCTAGAAACAGCCTATACTTTGGGCACTGAGTTATGCCATCTTTCATGTCTGAACAGGTTTAGTGACACAATCTGTATTTGGTGCTTTCAAAAATTCACTCGCATAGAGTAAGATAACTGCATTTATATCAGAGTATCATGACTATTAGGTGAGATAAATATACTGTCAAATGTAATGACATCCTCCTCCCAGCTCTCTCATAAAGAAGTATTGAGAACACATAATTGCCCTCAAAAGATGTCTATTTTATGATAATCATTACCTAAATATTACACACCAGAGACTTGTACTATTAAAGAGGGCTGGAATTACTTATGAAATATTAGCTGTTTTACTTAAGCTCTTTGGACCTAATTCATAAAAATTAATTCATGGTTTATAAGAATGATCTCTTTTCTTTAATAGAATACTTCTGTAGTTTATTAAATTATTTAATCCTGTCACCCTGATCACGTACATTTCAATTTTAGCCCTTCAGAAGGAAAAATAGACTAACTGTTAGGAGAAGAAACGTTGGTGTCAGCAGTCAGGACCTACGTCTCAAAAACCCATGAAGAAATTTACAGACTATGGAGAAAACAAGGGTAAAACTAAGTCAACCCAGATACTCCTGCTTTTCAAATGTATTTGTGACTATTTAAGGGTAAACCTACACCAAGAAAATGTTTATTTTTTATTAATTTATCCTTTCTGAGTTTGGAAGAGTGATTTCTAATTTTCCTAGTGCATTCCGGGTTTTCCTAGAATGACTTCTCCATGAAGTTTTCAGTGTCTTTAAAATGCTATCCAGAAGTAGCTTCAGCCCTCAGGGCCCACAGCAGATCGTGGGTCTGTGTATGCCAGAAACTTTGCTCAAGATCTTCAGGGAAATGATACTATAAAACTTCATTTACTATTTCTCATCATCGTGATGGAGAAGTTGTTTGCTCCATGTACTGACTCACATCTGTGCCTGCCTCTGGACTCTCGTACCCATGAGGGCAGGCAGGCTTCGTCTTTCTGGCTGACCTCTCGTACCCATGAGGGCAGGCAGGCTTCGTCTTTCTGGCTGACCTCTCGTACCCATGAGGGCAGGCAGGCTTCGTCTTTCTGACTGACCTCTCATGCCCATGAGGGCAGGCAGGCTTCATCTTTCTGGCTGACCTCTACATCCCCTGAGCTACAAGATGCTGTTCCAGTCAATATTTTTACACTGAAAGCCAACATATTTTACTAACTTTACAGTTGTCCAATGAGGATAATTAACATTAATTCAAGTCACAATGTGTCTATTGATTTTTCTACTAAAAATAAAGGCTTTTAAAAATGAGGAAAATAATCTCTTATATATACTCACGTCAACCCTATGAGGAATTAGGATAGATTTTATTTTCTATGTGCTATAAATAAGGCACTGAGATGCTAGGAAATGAATATAAACAGCTACATAGCAGGGTGGAAAAGTAACTAAGTATCACCACGTGTGGATTCTCTTTCCAACTTTCAGCATTTACTTTGAGCAAGTCACTTAATGTTGGTGTCTTTGCTAGAGATATTATCAAGAACAAGATGACTTCCAAGTTCCTTTCTAATTACACTACCCTCAGCCTCAGCCATAGAGCACTGTCCTAAGAGATATTCAGAGAAAGAAAAAAGTCATAGCGTGCCTGGTGTCTGCAGGACATTGCATTTGGCCTCATGGAGTAGAATCTGAGTGCAGGAACATAAGCACATGGAGAGTTATTTTCTCACATAACCTGAGTTCTGGGACACAAACCCAGCTGGCCCAACTGCTCACCCATGAGCCAGGCATTTCCTGCCTTGTCCTTAGAGAGAGACCTTTATTCTTCTGGTTAAAAGTGGCCATTCCACTTCCCAGCTTCAGGAATAAGTTATGAGTAGAAAGGGAAACCACAAAAGGCTCTTCCTAGTTGAAATGAAGGAGAAAATACTAAGGGCAGCCAGACAGAAAGGTTGGGTTACCCATAAAGGGAAGCCTATCAGACTTACAGCAGATCTCTCAGCAGAAACCCTATAAGCCAGAAGAGAGTGGGGGCCAATATTCAGCATCCTTAAAGAAAAGAACTTTCAACCCAGAATTTTATATCCAGCCAAACTAAGCTTCACAAGTGAAGGAAAAATAAAATCTTTTATGAATGAGCAAGTACTCAGAGATTTCATTACCACCAGGCCTGCTTTACAAGAGCTTCTGAAAGAAGCATTACACATAGAAAGGAACAACCAGTATTAGCCTTTCTAAAAATATACCAAAAAGTAAAGAGCATCAACATAATAAAGAATTTATATCAATTAATGGGCAAAACAGCCAGCTAACATCAAATGGCAGTAATCCTAAACCTAAATCGATTAAACTCCCCAATCAAAAGATACAGCCAAAACCCATCGGTATGCTGCATCCAGACCCATCTCACATGCAAGGATACACAAAGACTCAAAACAAAGGGATGGAGAAAGATTTACCAACCAAATGGAGAGCAAAAATAAATAAATCAATAACAAGCAGGAGTTGCAATTCCTGCCTCTGATAAAATAGATTTTAAAGCAACAAAGATATAATGGTAAAAGGATCAATGCAACAAGAAGAGCTAACGATTCTAAATATATACGCGCCCAATACAGAAACACCCAGATACACAAGACCTATAAAGAGACTTAGACTCCCACACAATAACAGTGGGAGACTTCAACATCAATATTAGATAGATCAACAAGACAGAAAACTAATAAGGATATCCAGGACTTGAACTCAGATCTGGAACAAGTAAAGTTAATAAACATTTATAGAACTCTCCACTTTAAATACACAGAATATACACTCTTATCAGTACCACATCACACCTACTCACAGGTTTAAATGAAATATTGGTTGGCCATTATTAAGCACAATTATTGGCATAAAAGAGGTTTTCAATACCCATTTTTAGAATAAAGCAACACTCCCGTTCTGTCTCCCTTTCTTTTCCTTTCTTCCTCTCCTTTATTCCTTTTTTTCTTTCTTTCTTTCTCTATCTCTTAAAAAGAAAAAAAGGCTCTTCCTAGTTCAGTTTTCCACTTCAGTCAATATTTCAAAAGCTTTCTGAAAATCGTACTCCAAAAACTTCTGCTTGAATCTCATTGGTCAAAACTGGTTGTATGGTTACCTCTGGCCAAAAGGAGTATGGATTTGTAAGTGTGTCTTAGTGGGCATAGTGCCTCTTGAACAGAAGTGTGGTTTCCTACCAAAGGAGAAAAGGTAGAATAGATGTCGGCTGGGCAGCCAACAGTTTACCACAAACAGTAGAGTGATAGAGTTCCTTTAGTGAATAATTTTTCAAATTTACTTTGAGAGTCTACACCTGTGTGCCCCAAGGATCCATACAAAAACAATTTATAGATGGACTACCAGTAAGAAGAAAATCCGGAAACAATTTAACGGGCCAGAATTACCCTGACAATTTTTTTTACAAGAATAAAACTGCAGTATACCTCACGAAAAGAAGATGCAAAATATCCCATCAAATACAATAATATATAAAAAGAATATTACCACAAACAAGTGAGTTTATCATAGGAATGCAAAGTTGGTTTAATATTTAAAAAATTAATCAAACTGAAAGGAACCAAAAAAGAAAAAGAAAGAAATTCAATCAATGTAATTTACTGTATTAACCATCTAAAGAAGACAACCATATGATCATATCAATTGATAGAGGAAAATACAGAGCTCTCCATGGAAAATACACGATTTGTGGGATGCAGAACCCAGGACCCGGAGGGCCAACTTTCCGACTTTTTGTGTTTGAGATTCTGCAGGGCTGACTGTGAGATTTGAGCATTGTCAGATTTTGATACCCCAGGGGTCCCTGGAAGAATACATGAAAATACTGACAGAGTACAGTCCTTGATTAAACTCCACATTTATTTACAACTTAAAAAGGAAAAAAAAGCTGGTAGCAGACAGGAAATAGAAATGAATGTCTGTTAAAGGACACCTACCCAAAACAAGAGAAAATAAAACCCACCAAAAATATCAGAAAGCATGAAACTTTAGCTAATATTGTACTTCATGAGAAAAGACTAAATATTTTCCCCTAAAGAGCAGAAACAGGGCAAGGATATTCTCTCACCATGCTCTTCAACATCATACTGAAAGTCTTACACAGCTCAATGAGGTAAGGAAAAGAAATACAAGGCAGAAGAGTGAAAAGGAGGAAATAATATTATACCTATCTGCAGATGACATGATTTGAAGCTGGGGATATTTTCTCCAAAATGAACAGGTACAATGTATAAAAATATATTCTTAAGGAAAAATGGAATCTTTACTCCTCTGAAAGTCGTCTTTTAGAATTTATTTTTGGTCCTTCTCATGTTATTATATGAAGGTCTGTATCTTATGTAAATGACAGTATGGTATCCCAATATACATTTTTTATATTGCACAATAATGGATATTTGGATTGATTCTAATTTTTGTACCACTAGAAACAACTGTTGCAAGTTATATATTCTCTTTTATGCAGTTGTGCAAAGAGTTTCTATAGAATCATTCCTAGAATTGGAATAGCCAAAACAGCTCAGTTATGAAAATTTTAAATTATATTAGATTATTCCTCAAATTACTATTTTAACCTCTTGTACTAATTTACATACCTGTCAAGAGTATATGAGAGGGTCTGTTTCCCCAAACCCACAGTAAAGAATGATCAAACTTACATATTAATATTTATCTTTTCAACTAAAAATATGTCATTTGTATTGACTTGAATTTTGTGAAGTTTGGCATATTTATGTTGTGTATTTTTATTTCTTGTTTTCTCTGCCTGCTCAAATCACTTGCCCCGTCTTCCATTGGAGGTTTTATCACAGAGTTTTAATACCTCTTTGCATATCATAAATAGTAATTGTTCCCTATCGTGTTTCAATGTCTGTTTCCAGTTTGCCTTTTGTATTTGACATTGTGGTGGTTTTGTAATGGAATTTAAATTTTTGGTTGCGTCTAATCGATTGCTTCTTTTGTGACTTCAAATTTTGATGTCTTGTTTAAATTGTCTTTTCCTTATTCAGTTAGGTGTTCCAAAAGCAGCTATGAGAGCCCATGTTAAGGATCTGCACCATCTTTGCATGAGTATACCTAGAAAACCCTTAGTTTCCCTGATATTGGGACAATTATCTCTGCAACCTGGAGCACAAAATCAGCAAATTGAGTTGGTTAGCTTAATATATATATTTTTTGTTTTTAGTTTAGAGTACTGGCTTGCATGTTATTTTTACTACAAGGGCTTACAGCTCCTCCCAGGGAGTCTCGACTTGACCCTGGCTCAGTTTAAGGCCCCTGGAGTAGAGGAGAAAGTGGATATTTCCACAATTTAAGCTGACATAACTATTAGACCATAATATCAACAGACCAAGTAAGCAGAAGGCATTCTTATTATACTCGTACACTATCTCACATATGATCTTTGTCTCTGCTCCACAAAGCCCATTAAATAGACTTTTTACCAGTTGGAGACCATTTCATCTCTTGGTATAGAATTCCACAGCCTCTGATAACAAGTGCAAAAACACAACTTTGTTTACAAATGGCTATAGGTTGTATAAGTGTCTTGTGTGTGTGTGTCTATGTATGTATAGTCTATATATGTGTGTGTTTATATATTATAAGCCCTTCTCTTATTTTCAGTGAGCTTTTAATTGTGAAGAGATCCTTGATAAGGTCTTCGTTCATCAGAGAACAGAATAATTCGGACAGGAGTGATTGAATCATTGAGCTCTATCAAACAAAACTTCCTTTATGTACCATAGGGAAATTTTGGTTTTGGTTTCTTCGTAGTAGCATAATCATAGTCCAGCTTCTCAAAGTCAACCTGCAGCTGCTTGTGCTCACGCATAGCACTGGGAGTCTATCTCAGCCACCACAGCTTTAAAGAACCCTCCAGGAAAGGAACTTAAAAGTTTACAGGTCAAAGGGTCCAGATTCTAAACAGAATTAAGGTTTTCTTTCTGCTTCAGCCTAGCAGGGATGTATTTCCCATGAGAGGTTTGTTTTGTCAGTGAAGGTCATTGTAACTGAGTCATCTAATAGAAAATTAGTAAAATCTCCCCAGGAAGTGTTAATTTAGTGCAAATGATTGTGTCCTACATGGGTGGACCACAGTACAAACTTCTCCCCTTATCTCGTTCTTCAAGAAGAGACGCGGTAGGATTCGGGGAAAAAATAATAATTTGTGATGAGCATTTACCACATGAAAACACTTTGTAGTTGTTATTTTTAAAGTCCCAGGCTTTCAAGAGGAAAGGCTTATTTTTCTTAGGAAAGATTAGCAGTAAGATGCTAGGCCTGTGATGGCCGAAGAGAATGTTTTCTGGGGTTCCATTGCTGTTTCTCAACGTTTAGGGAAGCAGGGGACTTCCGGGCATTTATTTGGAAAAGAGTGTAAAAGCTAAGAAATTAAAGTTGTTTGAGGTAATATTAGAAAATCATTTATTTAAAGGAGGGAAATCATTGTAAATGAATGATATTATCATTTCGAGCCTTAGAAAGAAAATTAGTTATCAGCAATAAAGATATATGAATTTTTTAAAAAGGCTCTATGCCTAATTAGTTTGAACTTAATTTAATTTGTAGCTTAAAACTAAAGCTATCAGTGAATTTAATGGTGGTTCTACCCACTGATGAATTACTGGGAATACGGGAATACCATACACATTCCGTTAGCTGTGGTAACTCTGGGTTAGAACCTTGGATTAACGTGAATAATTTTAGTTTATCCTCTTTCTATTCAGAATCTGGATATTAATCCTGTGTACATTCGCATGGTTTAACTTGTAATTAAAACAAGCACTTATTAATCCTCTTGTACTAAATGTTTTTCCATAAATAGGCAATGATAGCAGATTGACGTGTACACAAGCCAGATCTGAGTATCTTTCTAAGAGTTAAGCAAATGGCAGATGACAACCTTGAAACATGGTGGGGAAAAGTTCTTTCTACTTTCTGTGAGTATTGGTGTGTGTCTCATCAGATTACTTTAAGAAGCTTTCTTTCACGTTACCAGGATTGTCTAAATTCTAAGGCATCCATCTCACTAAATGCTGCAACTGTCTTTGGCCAGAGCAGCAAACGGACTGGTCAGTAGAAAATAATGCAGATACAGTAAGGGTCCCTGGCTGTCTCTTCCGGTTGACATCCAAATCCGAAGTTGTTTTCCTTCGAAGGCACAGGACTCTGAAGCTCAAAGGTGGGTGTGTATGACAGTCACGGATCAGAGACCTCTTTTCTACTCTGTGCCAAACCATGTGGCCTGTCGCCTCCCACCCATCTCCCTAGGGGTCACCAGGAGACCTAGGTTCTTCAGGCTCCTCCAGACAGGTGAAGGGCAACAAAAAGAACCCTTTCTGAAAAAGGGGAGACCGCTTCCTCAGATGCTCTTCACGTACACATTTCTGCTACCTCCAGCAGCGACTCGCCCTGCACAGCCTCCCCACAGACTCATGCACACTCCGCCACTTTTCATGTGGAAAGTCAGTGTTCGTAATCCAGTTGCAGCAAAAGCAAAAAAAGAACTTTGGTATTTTTCTCAAGCCACCGATTCAGAGTCAACTCAATGTAGAGAAAAAGCAAAAGAAAACCTGAAAAGAGAGCATGTTGGCTCTTAGAGGAGTAATTCCGGATGACAGAAGCTCTGCTAAGAATGGGCTTTGAAGGGAAATAGCTGTGGGAAGAGTATCTCTCTGAGTCAGGCTGAAGATTTGCCAATCCTCAAGCTTGAAGGAAAGGAAACCCGGCACCGCTGAGAGCTGAGGACTCAAAGCAACTTTTGTTTCTTAGCCAGTGATGCCCATAATGTGGTCTCAAGGTTGTCATTTACGGCTTGCTGCAGGTACAATTTCAGCATGTTACTGTCGTGTATAAATGAAATAACAGAACCGGTTAATAACAAAACCACATGCTTTTTGGGAACTGATAAAATCATACAAAATACTTTAAAGATTGAAACATATTCCCTGCCTATTTCTACTTACAATTCCAGAAACACTGTCTTTATTAATACCAAAAGATAAGAAATCCACTTGCGCGTTAATGACTTTAAGTATGATGAATGATTTTAAAGTATAATTCTTAACGGGGAAACAGATGTTCAGGAAAAAATGATAATAGCAATAAATATATTAGTTCTTCTTACTGTAAAAAAAATATTAGTTCTGATTGTGATCATACCTGTTCTCATTTGTGATTTTTGAAAGATATTTTAAAGCTATACTGCATTGTTAAATATGTCAAATTTGTATCTGTTTCATAGTATATATTAATTTAATTGATGAAAAATATTTCACATTAACTCAGCTACATAAATGATGGAAAAATGGAAGCAAGCTACCACAAGCAACATAAATGTACTAAAAAAAATTCTCACCAGATTCTCAAATACGTCCTGCCATGAAAAGACAGCTGTGTTAGTCTGAAGACTCTATGAGGCCAGGAGCAGTAAGTCACAAGCACTGCAGGAAGCCCGTAGATTTCCAGATCTCTCTTCTCCCTGGAGCTGCCCTTTTGTTTCTCACCCTCAAATCACAGCCTCTTGTTATTGTCTTCTTTTTTCCTTAAAAGAGTAAATCAAGATCTTATTACACATGTGTAAAACCCCTTTGACAAAAAAAAAAAAAAAATGGAAAGGGTCATCACTTCTCCCACATGCCTTGAAGAATCGCCATATGCATTGTAAATGTCCAGGGTCAGGGTGGAGACAGCAAGTGGACAGATTTTCCCTCCAATGGGCTTGGAAAAAAGAACAGGTTGCTTCCAGTATCATCTGCACCAGCATCAACACGGCCAGCGCGTCATGCGTTTTGGTGGTAGAAAATCATACAGTGGCACCCACACCTGCCAGTGGGGTATCCGTTTCCCTCGTGTGCCTATTTTTGAGGTGTTCTATTTCTCGACAATGCCAAATCAATAACCCTCATTTGCAGCAACATACCACAGCACAGCGTTTTATATCACACTTCCAAGAAGCAGCAGTCTAAAATCTTGACAATTTAAACCACATACCAACTCCTGACATTTAGATCTTTTCCAGTAAAAAGTATAATGCTTTTGTTTTAATATAGAATACAGTTTCTGTCCTCCCTACTTCTGGCAATAGCAATGTCACCTCAAACGGTCCTTTAGACTTAACATGCTGTAGCTAACACCTTAGATTCTTTCTTCTTCTGTGTACCTGTTTCTTATCTGGCACCCAGTTTGATGATGTCTTCGGAATGTCTTTTGTTCCATTTCCAGTAGCTTCATCTTTCTCCAGTGATCAGTCATTTCAGACCCAGATTAGCCATCCTTTTCTTATTTTCCTTACGACCGCTCATCTCCAGAACTGTAATTCATTCTACATAAACAGCACCTAATTGGTCTTCAGAAAATCATAATTTTTCATTTCACTCACCCAAAGCTTTCAAAGGTTGATTCCCACTGTTTCAATTTCCTCCAGCCTCTCTAACCCAGCTTTTCAAGAGGCTCTCTCACCTTTCTACAGTGCAGTGAGGGAAAGGACTACTCATACACCCTCAAACACACCACACAGAGGCCTCACACCACACTTTCTTCATACACCACCCCAGTGGGAAGATGCTTCCCATCCCTCTGTACTTAGCAAGTCACACTTGTCCTCCCAGGCTCATCTCAAATGCAGCCTCCTCCATAAAGCTCCCACATATTCCTGCCTGCAAGAATTCCTCTCTCCTCTGAATGTCGTCTACTTTCTCTCTAGATTTAATCTGTGCATTCAGATGTATCCTTTCTATATTTTTATTTTCCATTCATACACACACACACACACACACACACACACACACACACAGATTCCTAAACATCCATATACATGTGTACACATATTTTTTTCTTTATATAATTGTTATCATAATAAATATTGTTATGTGGCTTGCCTCTTTCTACACTACCATATATGTTGGAGGTCTGACCCTATGACACCTGGAGGATAATGGGTGGTTATTTCTTTTCTGTACACGTGAATTTTTCAATTTTTCTTGTTCTTTAAATTTTAATTTATTTATTTACTTTGAGATTAGGTTATGAAACTGGCTAATTTTTGTGGTTTTGGTAGAGGCAAGATTTCACCATGTTGTCAAGACTGGACTCAAACTCCTGGGCTCAAGGGATTCACCCACCCTTAGCCTCCCAAAGTGCTGGGATTACAGGCATGAGCCACTGCACCTGGTCCAAATTTCCAAGAATAATCACATATAGACTTTCTAATGGTGCATGCAGAAAATGGGATTCACAGACCATTAAAAAAAAAGCAGATAGAGATGATCTCAACATAAAGGATCATGTTCTCAACTTTCTATCTAGTAGGAAAAAAATATAATTTTAATGATTATAAAGATAGATCATGGAGAGCACAAATAGCTCATCCATAAAAATAATCGTGTTTTTGTTCAAAATATATTTAAGGGCCTACTAACCTCAAAGGGCTCTGATTCTCAAGTGTAAGAATGAATTAGCCCCAAGCCCCGCCCCCGCCCCCCCGGCCCCCCGTCAGAGTTGCAACTGATACAAGTTTGCCGCAGGGCACTTAGACATTTTGCGTTTCTTTCCTTGAACCTCCCCTTGCAAAGAAAAGACATCTTTTCAAAGAATTGCATTTGACAGCAAGGCCGACCTATTAACCACGATGTTATAGACAAGAGTCTATTGTAATGCAACGTATTTAGTTAATTGCTTGATTTTAATATTTATAAAATGCTATTTTAGGTGCTTTTGAACTTTCAAAGCACTTTCATAGCTATTACCCCATGTTGCATTTTCAATAGTCCTTGTGGTAGGTTAAGCATCCTCATTCTGTTGATGGGAAAACAGCCCTAGGTAGTCATGTGGCCTTGCCTTAACTCACCCAGTTAGCAAGGCGGCAAAGGAGACGTGCTGGCTTCTAACCTAAGCCTTCCCCTGAACCAAGCCAAGGAATTAAGCTTTTTTTTTTTTTTTTTTTTGACAAGAAAGATTTAGTCCTGGTCCCAGAACAAATTTTAACATTAGAACTATGTTATAAATAAGTGGCATGGCGAGAGCCTGGTGTACAGTGAACTCTGTTTTATGGCCAAGACCGTGTGGCACGCACCGAGCCTTTCAGTCCATCTTTTCCATGACTATCCTGGGTAACTAGGAACCAGGAAAGAGATTTGCTCAAGCACATTCCACTTGACAAGCACAAATGAATTTATTCAATTGCCTATATTCTAAAACTGTCCAAGCAACCACACCATCACATAAATAAAAGACGGCAAGTTGGTAACAAACCTGTAGGTTCAGGCACATGGAATGCTCAGAAAATACTGATTTTCCTATCTGATCAAACGCTGAGAATGAGTGGGGGTAGGGGACACTCACACAAAAGGGACATCTGTTACTTATTTAAGCCATCCTTAGACAAGAATATATTACTTTCCAGAGAGAAAAATATTGTTCTTTCCAGAGGAATAGGAATGTGATATAAACAATGAGATGAGATAAAGCTGTTTATATCAAAGGGTGAATCAGATTATAACACTGAAAAATAGTACACATTTCCTGTTATTGCTGCTATAAGTAAAACAGTATTTGAAAGACAAATTACCATGTTACTATTCTTGAAAATCCCAGGCTCTCTTATAAGTAATGACATCTTGGGTACACAGGAGACTAACCAAGTGCAGACGTATCTCTATCTACATAATTTAAGGAGGAAAAAAATCAATTGTTTCTCCTTCAAGAAAGAGAACACTTTTTCCTGTCAAACTTAAAGAACCAAGAAAAGTTTATATTTAAGACAAAAAAAACTGAAAATAGCGCAGGGAAGACATGAGTGGCGCGCATGCTCCCAGCAGGGCTGAAGTCCAACCTAGTTCTAGAGACCATGCTCCGGGTCATAAACAGCAGGCAGGAAACTGACGGTCCCCAGACTTGAAGTGCCTGCAGCAGTTGGCCAGCCCCGAAGGACCTCTGCAACACAGGGCAACAGGGAGTTGCAGCCTCACCTGGGGCAGGTGACAAAGCAGCTTTCTAGTGTAGATCACACACACACGCGCACACATGCACGCAGTTGGCCTTCCTCATCCATCCTGCACCTGTTCTTGCATGTGGACCTGTGTACCCGTGGAAACCACCCTGGGTTCCAGTATGAACAGACACTGGGCACTGTCTCACCAAGAGATCAAGAACAGGCCCCTGCTCACCTGACCTCACCTCTTAGCAACTCTCTCATTTTCCAAAGGAGAGAGGCAATGGCAGGTATAAGCCTAAGGCATCTGCCCTTCTCTAAATCCAGTGAGAAGCTGATCAGAGCCACCTTCTCACCTGCTGGCAACCAGGGTAGCATCTATGTCTCCAAACTCAGAATGACAAGCAAGCAGCCAAAGCCACCTTGAATGACAGCCAAGCACAGAGCCCGCTGACTAAGCCCTGTTCCCATGTGCCCCAGACAGAGGGGCTTCCCAGGACAGGGGCTTCCATGACTAACACAGGAAAGTCCCAGGCAAACCAGAGCTGTCAGTCACCCTTTTGGTGTTTTCTCTGGGCCTCGGTCCCTTCTGTCTACTCACCTGCAGGCCCAGCTCCAAGAGGCTGCTTTAGGAAGCCCTGGGCCGTCTGGGTCTAATCAGCTTCTCTTTGAAAGTCCTTAACCTCTTCTCGTGTAAGCGAAGTGTGGTTTGAACAGTTAGTTGCTTTGGGTACATCTTAAATAAGAAAAGTCCATTCATAGGTCTAGAAAGGAAGCCATAATTCTCTTTTCTGGCTGGATTTCAGTTTCTGGTTTTTTGTTTTTTTCTTTGGAGAGAGGTTCTCACTGTGTCACCCAGGCTGGAGTGCAGTGGTAAGATCACAGCTTCCTGCAGCATCTACCTCTCGAGCTCAAGCAAACCTCGCGCCTCAGCTGACCAAGTAGCTGGGATCACAGGCATGCGTCACCAAACCAAGCTAATTTTTAAATATTTGTAAAGACAGAGTCTCACTATGCTGCCCAAGCTGGCCTCGAACTCATGGGCTCAAGTGATTCTCCCACGTCGGCCTCCCAAGTGCTGGGATTACAGGCGTGAGCCACCGTGACTGGCCTGGGAATAGGTCTTGATCAGTGCTTCCAATTTGGCCCTGTCTGGAGACCCCTCCGGTTGTCACCATGGGAGAAGCCGTGCTCATGACATCTCCCAGGTAGAGCCAGGGTACCACTGTGCCTCACACCATGCCCGGGGCAGCCCCCACAGCAAAGCATTGCCTGGCACAAGATGTCCATTGCACTGAGGTTGAGAGACCTTGGTCTATGTTAACGCTGGGACAAGATCACCAAAAAAGCTAAGGAGGAGTCGGCTGAGAGGCTCATTCATGTGACCAGAGGCCTCCCCAAGCACACCTCAGCTGGCACACATCCGCAGCACCTGTGTGCAGAGCGTGCTGGCCTTCCCAAAACGAGCCATGCGGGCGATGCTTCTCCTGGACTCTCCTCCTTCTCCATTCTTCCTCCTTCCCAGCAGGCCGGACACCACTGCTTGCCTCCCACTCCCAGGACTCCATCTCCCTCGGTTAGTCCCTGTGCAGGGATAGCAGAGGCACTCTCCCTTTCCAGGGAGACGTGGAGAGGAGGGCCTGAATTCCAGCAGGGAGGGGAGTCAGAACACAGCCATTCACCGAGTCCTCTCCAGCCCCAGCCCTGGGAGTCAGTCCTGGGGGTGCTGCCTTTCACTAGGGGATTCCCAGCCCCGATCCCTCCAGACACAGGGAGGTTGAGCAAGGAACATGGTCTTCGCCCTTCCTCCGTGTTGCCTCTGTCCCCTCCCTCAGCAACCAACAAAAGGCAAATGAATTCATTAAGGAGACCAACACCTGGCATTTGCCTTTCTTTCTTTTTTTTTTTAGATGGAGTCTCACTCTGTCCCCCAGGTGGGAGTACAGTAGCCCAATCTTGGCTCACTGCAACCTCCACCTCCCAGGTTCAAGTGATTCTCCTGTCTCAACCTCCTGAGTAGCTGGGATCACAGGCACCCACCACCATGTCAGGCTAATTTTTGTAGAGACAGGATTTCACCACATTGACCAGGCTGGTCTCGAACTCCTGGCCTCAAGTGATCCACCCACCTCAGCCTTCCAAAGTGCTAGGACTTGAGGTTTGAGCCCCTATGTCTGGCCGCATTTGCCTTTCTTTTGTTTTGGAGATGAGGTCTCTGTCGCCCAGGCTGGAGTGCAGTGGCACGATCTTGGCTCAAAGCAACCTCCTCCTCCTGGATTCGAGTGATTCTCCTGCCTCAGCCTCCTGAGTAGCTAGGATTACAGGTGTGTGAGCTACCAGCTAACTTTTGTATTTTTTAGTAGAGATGGGGTTTCACCATATTGGTCAGGCTGGTCTCGAACTCCTGACCTAGTGATCCTCCTGCCTCAGCCTCCCAAAGTGCTGGGATTACAGGCATGAGCCACCGCACCCAGCCTCACATTTGCCTTTTTTTAAGGCCTTTATTTAGGACTCAAGCGAGAGGTGTCAGGAGAAAAGGTGAGGGAATTGCGGGCGAGGGTGGAGAAGGGGTTCAGCAAGGTTTGGAGATCTTGATTTCTTCATTAGTCACAGGCCTGAGCAGCACATCAGTGCTTTCAAGTTAAAGGTAGGACATGGAAGATAATGTATCCTGTTGAATCTATAGGGATAATTAAGAGATAATTAAAAATATAATGATCCAAATTGGGACTGAGGAAACACACTGGCATTAACCTCCTTGCCCTTAGAGAAGGTGCCGTGAGAGTTCGTGGTCGGGTTTACCACTTATTCAGCACTCCACCTCCACTTGTTCCTAACCCCTGAGGAATCGGCTCATTACTGACTCAGAGGGATGCGCGCCAAGTCCTGACTCACCACCACTTCCTGCAGAAATCCTCCAGTCCTGTTAGAAATGGCTCAGCCAAGGGGACTCATCTCCTCACACCCAGGGAACCGAGACCTACGAAAGACCACAGCGTGAAGTGATGAACGCGCCACGTGCACAGGATTAATGTGGTGGCTCTAATCCTCCAATGTCTTCAAACCTTGCCGACCCCCTTCTCCACCCTCGCCCACAATTCCCTCACCTTTTCTCCTGACATCTCTCACTTGAGTCCTAAATAATGGCCTTAAAGAAGACAAATGTGAGACTGGGCAAGGTGGCTCACTCCTGGAATCCCAGCACTTTGGGAGGCCAAGGTGGGTGGCTCACACGGCCAGGAGTTTGAGACCAGCCTGATCAACATGGTGAAACCCTGTGTCTACTAAAAACATAAAAATTAACCAGGTGTGATGGTGCATGTGCCTATAATCCTTATGCTGCTTAGAATAGTTCTTGCAGTGTTAGTTTTAGAGATATGTAATGGAGAGCAGTAGGGAAATCAATACTTGCCTGGTCCTTCTCCACTTCCCTAATCCATCTGTCTCCCTTGCTATGTCTCCAAACCTTCTCCAGCTAGGACAGCAGAGGTCCCCAGACATGGTTATGAACTCCACGTGTGTCCCTGGTGGACGCTGCTGGACCCAGCATGCACGCTTCTCTGAACCTCCATTGCCAGTGGGGAGCATGAGGCAGCTTTCTCATGCAGTGGGTGAGAACCAAGGTTAAGGCCATCATGTGGGAGGCATCTGTGTGGCAATGGCAGGCATCACTGTGAGTGGCCCAGGTCACACGTGTCTGCTCTGATCTTTCTACATCTCTTCTTCCTGCTTCACTCCCACTGTCTAACTTAATTCCTTTTTTGTCTGCTCCTTTCAGGAGACAGTGTGGCATCCTAGAAAGGCTGAGTGTGGGAAAGAAGACCCATTCTGAAGTCACCCTGATTTGTGTTTAAATGATCACCTTGACTACTGCTATAGCATGAATGTTTATGTCCTCCACCCAAATTCGTACGCTAAGACCTAATGGCCAATGGGATTTTATTAATAGGTGGGGCCTTAGGGAGGTGAGTGGCTCATGAGGGCAGAGCATTCATATGAGATAAGTGCCCAAAGCCCTGTGTACAATAGCAAAGACCTAGAACCAACCCAAATGCCCATCAATGATAGACTGGACAAAGAAAATGTGGTACATATACACCATATACACCATGGGAATACTATGCAGCCAGAAAAATGATGAGTTCATTTCCTCTGTAGGGACTTGGATGAATCTGGAAACCATCATTCTCAGCAAACTGACATGAGAACAGAAAGCCAAACACTGTATGTTCTCACTCATAGGTGGGTGTTGAACAATGAGAACACGTGGACTCAGGGAGAGGAGCATCACACACTCAGGGCAGTTGGGGGGGTAAGGGGAGAGACAGCGGGGGGTGGGGGGGTGCAGAGGGATAACACTGGGAGAAATGCCGGATATAGTATGCACCTAAAGTAAAATAAAAAAATTAAAAAAAAAAAGAGACCCCAGAAAGTCCCCTTTCACTGGCCACCCTGTGAAGTGTAGAACACAGTAAGAAGGCCACCTGTGAGCCAGAATGTGAGCCCTCCCAATTGTTCTAGCACCCTGATCATGGGCTTCTAGCCTCCAGAATTAGGAGAAAGAAGTTTGTTTTTCCTGAGCTATCCACTTCAAAGTGTTCTGCCGTCGCCGCCCAAATAGACTAAGACATCCACTTAACCTTGGTCAAATGTTCAGCCTTGGAGTCCACACCTGTAAAATGATGCCAATAACACTGTGTATTTACTACGTTTATGATCAGGATTAAGAAATGTAATTTATTAATCAGAAATTAGTAATTTCTGATTATTAATTCTATGGTGCTTGATACCTGATTGAGGCTTATTTAATATTTGGATCCTTTTATTTACTTTTTCCTCTTTCTTTCTGCTTCTCCTCTTCCCCTTTTCCTTTTGAAATAGAATGCAGAGGACAAAGCAAACAAACAAACAAAAAACTCCTGGAAGAAGCACAGAATTTCAGACCTAGAAAGAAGCTGAACAATCATCCATTCCGCTCTCCTCATTTTACAGATGAGGGCATTGAGCCTCAGAGAAATAAACTTGCCCATGACCACACAGCAAGTGAGTGGGGGACTCAGGACCCAAGACATTTTTTTCCAGGCTCCCTTGTACCACATCACGCTGCAGAAAACCCAGCAGATGGGAAGAGATGAGGCATGTGGTTACCATTTCTGTATTACATCCAATTCGTATTTCATTTAGAAAATGTATTTCTAGAACTTTTTTTAAAAACCTGAATGATTTCAATTGAAGTTTTTCAAAACTAGGATGACTATGCTTCTAATTGATATCAAGTTCAAATTTTTAACATATTTTGTCTAATTTTGCCCCTCCCCTGAAAATATCCAAAGTATTGAATGCCCAGGTTTCCTGTTTGGAAAAGCCCAAGGATCTGAGCATATTCTGGGCTACTCTTGCCCGGCACCCAACCAGGGTACAGGACCTGGCCCGATGCTGCTCTCTGCTGCTGCTGCCCAGCTCTTCTGCTCCACCCACAACACTGTACCCAGTTAATCATTAGGGCCCTTTTCTCTGTACAATTCTATAATATAATGCGATAAAATAATCCATGCTAACAAAAGTCTAGAATGGAAGATGCCTGCTATGGTTTAAATGTGTGTCCCCTTCCAAACTCATGTTGAAATTTAAGCCATATTAAAAAGTGGGACTTCTAAGAGGTAATAAGGCCATGCAGGCCCCACCCTCATGGGTGGGATTGGTGCTGGCATAAAGGGTGAGTTTAGCCCCCTCTCACTCTCTTACCTCCTTGCCTTCTTCCATGTGATGGTACAGCAAGAAGGCTCTCGCCAGATGTCAGCACCGTACTATTGACCTTCCCAGCCTCCAGGACTATGAGCCAATACATTCCTGCTCATTGTAAATTACCTAATTCTAGATATTCTGTTACAGCAGCACAAAACAGACTAAGATGCTGTTCTACTCACTCCTCACAATCCTGTGTTCTTCTAGGAAAAATCGCATAATTTAACAATGACTCTTTAGAGACAATGTCCCTCCTCTATCTCTCAGAAAGAGGCTTTCTCAGTGGAAGAGGAGGAGGATGTTGGGTGGAGGAGAGAGTTGGGAGTGCTCTGGTTTTTCTCGGTGGTACATTCATGTGGTCCCTCTGTTTCCAGTGCCTCAGCCTCTGCTTGTCTACTCCTGCGTTAGGCCCTGTGGTCATGAATTCTTTCATCAAATAACTATTCCTAAAAACAAGCATGCATGACTAAGCATGAGACAACTGCAGTGAGGCAAGTGTGTGTGACTTATCTCATCTACCCAACGTGACAGCTTGACACTTCAGGGGGAGATTTTCACCATCAATTCCCAAAAGAAAGAATTTAGAGTAATGAACATTTACGTATGGGTAGCCCTGTGATGTCTCTGACAACACCCCTCATTTGGCCAAATTTTCAGACTCAAAATGACAGCATTGGCTCTGCGTGCTTTCTGGACTCAGAGAACCTATGGTGTCCGACCTCCCTCTACGGGAAGACAGAGCTCATTCGGAAAAAACTGGACGGCAGGTTAGAAGAAAGTCTTAAGTTCAGGCTTTATTGAGAGGAAAGAGCCTCCAGGCGGGCCAGTCGGGAAGAACAGGAAAATGGCCGCGCCCGCTCAGAGGAGCAGGGTTCTTTTATAGGGGGTTGAAGGGCCGAGGGAGTGGGAAGGCCGGGAGAGCCGAGGCGGCGGGCAACGGTTGGTCAGTTTAAACTGCCGGTCGGCGGGAAGCTGGGGAGAGCTGATGAGGCAGGTGGTGATTGGTCAGCCGGTTGCCGGACGGCAGGTGGCTGCAGCTGGGCGGGAAGGCCAGAACGGTATGTAGAGTGAGAGATAAGGGAGCCTCTTTGTGTGTGGGGGGGGGAAGAGCTTTCACGACAGGGACAGAGTTTTCCAAACATACGGTACCAAAGCTCCAGTCTGGGAAGTACCACCTCATCCATGTAAGCACCGTTCTGAAAATTATTGTAAAATGTGTTATACAAAGAATGGGGTAATGTATTGCTGTAAATTGTCAAACCAGCTCATCAAAATACGCATTCACACATTCATTTTTTTTTTAGTCATTCATAATACAGCTGTACAAAGGATTATCAACCGGTTTTTAGAGTTACAGAAAAACAGAATCTTAGCTCCACCACTTATCCGTTTGATATTCTGACTCTAGGAAAGGTACTTGACAATCCGATCCTCAGTACCTATCACCACTTGAAAAAAAAATGGGAAAATAATACCACTTCATAGCTTGGTTGTAAAGATTCAGTAAGGTAATGCATGCGAGTGCCTAAAACAAAACAGCCACAGAATGGAGGTAGGAGCCTTACCGTAGACTCCAACATAATGGTGTCAATCAGCAAAGTTTCATCAGATCAAGGCGCAGACCAATTATACATGATGCTGGAATTTGATGCCTAGAAATCCATGTTCCTCTTGCATAAAGCTTTCCTCTTAATCTGTACTTTGCTCATGTTCAACATTTTGGTATTTTTCTAAGCTCTCCAACCTTAGGGGTCTTACTGGTTTCCCACTAAATGTTGGATTAATGGACCATTGCTGGTTAAACCACCTCATCCTCTCCTCAGGCCCCGTAGAAACAGTAGAACCAGGGACTGAAGCCATCATCCCACTGTCTTCAGCACAATGAGTCCTGCGAGTCTAAGCTCCTAGGAAAAGAGTTCCTTTTGGCTGCAAAGGGTGTATAACAGCAGCTGAAACAAGCAGTGCAATATTCATGGGGCTTTTCACTTTGTGGCACTTGAGAGTAAATTTAAAAGGCAATTTACTTCTCTCTTTCTCATTTTCAAGAAGAAATGAGGCCCAGAAAGGTGGGGAATTTGCCAGGATGAGAGAGCTACCCCTACTCATGATTCAGTTAAACAGTTGCTTAGGATACCCCAAAGTCATGTCTGCACTTCAGAAGATTAAGTGCTCGTATAGACAATATCACATATTCCACTACAGCAATTTAATGATTTCCTGATGATATATGATAGGTCCCAGATTATCACTAAAAGGTATTTTAGATTTTGACAACTGACACAATTTGGAAGCCAACAGCAACTCTTGGAATTGGAGTCTACTTAGCACATACCTGGCCAGAGTTTGCCCTACATCTATCTAGATGCTGAAATCCAATATCTTTTCTGAAAAAGTAATACATGTATATGGTTAAAAAATAAATTCAAATAGAACAAAAGTGTAGTGGATTAGTCAAGATTCTTCAGACAAATAGAACCGATAGGATGTACCTGTGTATCTGTAGCTTTATCCATTTCTATGCATAGAGAGAGATTATTTTAAAGAGTTGGCTCAAGGGATTGTGGGGGCTGGAAATCTGAAATCTATAGAGCAAGCCAGCAGGCTGGAAATTCAGCTAAGTGTTGCTATTGCAGTCCTGAGACCAAATCTGAAGGGCAGCCAGCAGGCTAGGAACTCAAGCAGCGTTTTTATGCTGCAGTCTTAAGGCAAAATTCCTTATCTTCACCAAACCTAGGTGTTTGCTCCTAAGGCCTTCAACTGATGGGAAGGGGCCTAGCTTGTAAAGGGTAATCTGCTTTTCTTAAAGCCAACTGACTGTAATTGTTAATCACATCTTCAAAATTCCTTCACAGCAATATGTGGATTAGAGTTTGACGAAACAGCTGGGCACCATAGCCTACCCATAATTGTAGTTGATACATGAAATTAGCCATCACAGAGTAAATAACGAGAAGGGCACCACATCCCACTCCAGACCCTTTCTTCCTTTCCCTAGAGGTAAGCTCTTCAGGTGGCCAAACCCATCTTTCCAGGGAAGGGCATTGGTTCTATTTGCATCCGAATGTTTATGTCTGTAAAAAAAGGCACCAGACTTCCTCTATTCTTCACATTTCTGCAGCCTTCACTCTGTGCCAGGCCTTCTGCTCAGCACCTCACTGGATTTCCTCCTGCCCGTCCTTTCCATCACCTGGACATGCAGTTACCATTCTGTCCCCTTTTTACAGATGGGCCAACAGAGGTGCAGTGAGAGCGAGTGAGGTTAACATCCTTTCAGCTGAATGAATTTGATGACAAGAAAGGTTCAGTCTGCTCTGGAAAAAAACAAAATAATTTTCAAAATAATATTCCCATTTTTATTGGGAAATTGGGGGCAAAAACAAGTTCAGAAAAGTTTCAAAGGCGTGCTTGATGCCAAGTATGATTTAAAGCCCTGCGTTCTAGAACCCTTGAGTGACACCGGAGGGACGTGTGCCGGGCCGTGTTTTCATTCAGCTCCCCTTATAGACGGCAATATTCCTTGTTTTAAATTATTTATTATTTTGTGTTCCCAATTAAGCTATAATGTGACAGGCGAGCTATTTTACAAGGCTATAAAGAAAATAATCATGCTCCCCAGCGAGTAAACTACAAGGCCAAAAGGTGAGTTGTTTATATCAGGGAGAGACCCACATTACCACATTGAAAAACCGTAGGCCCGGCTTGTTATTGCTGCCACAGGTAAAAATGGCTACAGAACAGAACAAGAGAAACTGGTTCCCAGCCTCCTTGAAAGCACTTATTTTTAAAATAATGACAAAACTGTCTGTGTTTGCATAAGGAGCAAAAATGATTGATAGACGGCCTGGAGGGAGCCAAGTCTTACCCTGAAATTAGGGCCGCAGGGACAAGGAGGTGCTGAAAGGGTCTGGAGCAGAAAGATCTCCTGGGCTGAATGAATGGCAGAAAAATCTAACAGTAGATTAACTTGGTTTGAGGGTCCCATCTTCTGAACACGCTGAACACAGCATATCTTAAATTCAAATTAGCCCGTCTATGGAAAATGAAAATGATATTATGAGTCCTGCCTTGTCATTATGGTGGTTTATGGGAAGCCCAGATGGCTACATATGGCCACCAGACGGGAGCTGGTCTTCAAAACAAAAACAAAATGAACCAAAAAGCCCTCACCCTCAAACAAAGACAGAAGAACTCACCTGCTGAGAGGCACCATGCATTTCAGCTGGAAGTAGCTGGTGACAAGTGAGCCCAGGGGTGGGAGGGGGAAGGAGCCGGGGGAGTGTGTCATCAGAGCTGTTTTCATCTCCCCCTGGTGGGTGGCACAGGGCTGTTTGTGGGCTGTGGGTTTGTGTATCTGGGATGTTGCAGGAAGTGGCGAGGAAAGAAGAATGAAGACAAAGCGTATGGGGTTTCCATTGATTCAGCCAAGTCCATAACAGAAGAAAAGTGCCCTCCTTCAGAACTTACAATGCAATGTGCGAGAATGGACCTGTTACATCTTGTATTACTCACAGGGGGTCCCCACTGCTCAGAATAGGGCCAGCACTCTGAACCATTCTCTAAACCAAGAATCAGCAAGTGACTGAATCTATGAGACTCGTATTGATCAGCCTCAAAAGAAATGAGTCCTACCGCCTCGGTCTCTGAAGAAATTCATTCTCTTGAAAAGCAATTCAAAATGAGCTTTCCCTAATACACATTAGATAAACAATGAGATATCCTCCTGGCTTTCTCTTGGAAAGTTTTCACCAGCTTTCCTCTTTTATATCTTTCCAATTCATTCTCATCCTTTTTGTTCATTTCTCTCCTACTTTGAGGCTTTGTTGTTCAAAATCTAGCTCATATAATTTTTTAAATCGTTGTATTCATGTGTCCCCAACTAGAGCATGCTCTTTTTTCTGGCTGGTAGATCCTCCCCAGGATCTTTGCATGTATTAGGGCTCCAGCGAATAGGTGTTGGTCGTGAGGAGGGATGACCAGCTAAGGGAGCCGATGGCTTTGACAAACACTGCCCGATTGCAAGGAATAAAGACGTGCTCACGATACCTTGGATGGCCAGGTTTATTGTTGCACAAACACTCTGGGTGGTAGGCAGTCCACCAAGATGGCGGCCGTCAATTCCTTACCTCTCTTTGTGTACAGGCTGCACCCCATGACTAGAAATAGGGCCTTTTTTCTCCTCCCTTGTATTTTGACAGGCCTCATACCTTGCTTTCAACAGTGAAATGTGGCATTAGTGAGGTTGGATCTGTTCCAAGCCTAGACTTCAAGCCTTCTGTGTCCCACTCAGAAGCCAGTCACCATGCAGGAAGCCTGACTACCCAGAAAACCACCAAGCTGGGAGAAGTCCAAGCTGGCTACTCAAAGAGGGGCACTGAGGTGCCAGACGTGTGAGGCCTGCTTGAACTTTCCAGCTCTGCTCAGCACTCAGCTGAATGCAGGGAAGCAGTCAGCCCCACTGAGAACACAGGGGAGCAGGGGTTCTGATCCTGCCTGGGCTCCTGGCCCATAGAATCTGGAGATGTGACTTTGAACCACTACATTTTGACATAGATTAATATGCAACAATAGATAAAACACACAGAAAAGTCAAGAAAAATGTTTTTGAAGAAAAGTGATCTCTGTAGGTTAACTACAGTTAGTTAATACTAATTTATTGTGTATTTCAAAATAACTAGAAGAGAATAATTAGAATGTTCCTAGCATAAAGAACAGACAATTTAAGGTGATGGATATCCCAATTACATTGATTCGATCTTTACAAATTATATGAATGTATTCAATTATCACATGTGCCCTGAAAATATGTACATCTATTATGTGTAATAACAACAACAA